GCAGCCTGCGCTCAATCCACTGAGCTACGCCAGCCAGGGGAAATCCACTTTCTGAACAGAAAGGCCCCACTGCTGAGAGAAGGCATCAGCAGGCTTCTCATGCAAGGCCCTCTCCCAGACCTTGAACCTGGGGTCCCGAGTCCTCACTTCAGTCCTGACCATGGCTCTCAGGGCCATCCCCACAAGACAAAACACGTTACTTGTTTTTCAGGCTGAAGCATCACATTCTCTTTATATCTGTTGACAAACTTTCCAAACAAAATAGAACTTTGTTTCCAAAAAAAATGCTTTTTAATTTAATTCTACTGGTATATTTAGAAGAAAAAAAAAACCACTTCCAACTTAACAGAATATCTTAATTCCCTGAGAATGAGAAAGGAAAATAGAGGAACTGAAGTGGAAATCTTGGCCGAATGAAGGGGCTTCTCCAGTACGTCCCCGGCTTTATTTTGCAATGGCTGTCAAGGTTTGAGGGCCACTCCTTGGTCACTCAGGGGGACATGAGGTCCCATTTCCAAGCCCAGTAGGAGTTACAGTTCAGGCATTTTATTGGGCTGACCAAAAAGTCCATTACACTTTTTCTGTAAAATAAAAGACACGGTTTTTCATTTTCACCACTGGCTTTATTGGTTTGGGTATTCTGAGGATGTCGGCTGTCTCCCACTATTGACTTCCAGTGGGTAGAGGCCGGGGTGCTGCTAAACATCTTCCAGTGCCTAAGACAGCCCCACAGCAAAGGGTTATTTGGCCAAAATGTCAACAGTACCAAGATACTTCACAAACCACTTCTGATACCTTCGATCAGTCACAGCGCCTTCTACATAACAGCACAAATCTTTTTCTGCATTTCAGTTGTGTTTTTACCTGTTTTGAAATAACAAAGCATAATACACCAAAAATGTTGCGTATCTTCCACCTTCAATTTCAAAAGGGCTGCACAAAAATTCACCAGTCTTGATGAAGTTTGTTTTTTAAATGCGCACTGATATGACAGCTGTCACAATGACATGACAGCTGTCACAACACCATCTAACAAAACCGTTTCAAATGAAGTTAAAGACAGCTCAGCACTGCCAGAGCCGTCGTGCAGAGAAAACGTGATGGACTTTTTGGCCAACCTGATACCTGTCAGTCACTGCCAGTCCGATAACATTTCACACCACCACGTTGATTTGCAGGGGTTGTCATCAAGTGAAATAATCATTTCCTAATAGCTATGACAAGCCATCGTGAGGGAGACAATTAATTTATCCCTAAGTGATCGATGAACTATACATATAGGCGTAAAGCTAAACAGCAAAAGTTGGAGGTCATTGTTACTCATGCGAATGAAAAGTTGACTCCTTCATCCGAGTGTTCCCTACGGCAACAGTCCGGCATTGGTCATGGATGAGCCCACGCGAGCCTGTCTCACTGCGGGCGTGGAGTGCTCACCGTAACCGAAGAGTGCCGTGGAAGGCCGGCACTCAGCAGCCACTCTGGCCACTGAAGGCTTCTCTGCAGTCCCCAGGTGGGCTGTGCCCCTGCCCGGACAGCCGCCTCCCCCGATACCCTCCGTAGGCTCTCCTGCTTGTGATTTTGCAGGGTCCACAGAAAGGCTTTCTTGAAAAAAAAAAAAAACAAAAAAAACAAAAAAAAACAGAATCCACAACATGCAGTGAGAATTAAATGCACTCAATTATACACTTACTTGAATATATATTAAAAAATATGCTCGTGTGGTTCTGTTTCAATGTCTGGTCTTCCATGAGCAGTTCACAAAACATTTAGCTGCACGGGGCTGTGAGTCCTCTTTGTGGGGGGCGGGGGGGAGCAGGAGGGAAGGGTGAGCGGAGAGGAAAGGCAGCAGCCCCGGTCTCACACACCCGATCCCATCCCGGCTGGTTGATGAGGCAACTCGGGAGCCAGGGGTCGTTCGGCCGGGGCAAAAGGGGCTGCAGCCGCACCGTCCCTTTCGGCACCAGCCCGCACCTGCATGTGTCTTCCCACCGCGTCTAAAGGATCCCACCAGAAACACCCACCCAGTGACACCCCCACGTGGGAGGCCGTTTCTGCGCCACCCGGGGCTTGGGTCACACATCCCTGAACGGAACTCCTGTCCACATGAGCCGGGGCAGGGCTCCTGGTGAAGGGGGGACTCCTCTTTGCAGGAGGGGGGCCCTGTCTCTAGCACCCGCTCCCTCTCCTGGAACACTCCTCGCCTACCTGATGCGCACTCACCTCTCGGTCTGTCCCTGTGTCCTGGAGCATTCCGGACCCTCTAGACCGGTCCCAATGCCCCCTTTGATCTGCTGTTTAAACGTCCCGCCCTCCTTACGACCCCTGCTCACACCGGTAGAGCGTGTCCCCTCTCCTCCTCCGCACCGTGCACCCCCCAGCAGGGGGCGTCGCGGTCGTCGGCGCTGTGTTCCCGAGTCTGAGCACCGTGACTGGCGTGTGTAGCATGTTCTCGGTGAGCCCGTGGCGAGTGGGGACCAGGGAGACAGACACACGCGGAGTGCTCGGGGTGTCATCCCCGGCGCACGGAGGTGCTGGACCCATGGGCGCCGCCGCCTGCACCAGGGCCTCCCGGCTCCGCGCGGCCCCCAACCCCGAGCAGGTGCAGACTCGGTGGGGGGCTCCCTGGGAGCAGACTCAGTGGTAGGGGGCTCCCTGAGCGCAGCCCCTGCCCGTGATCCGTCCTCCTCGGGGCAGCGTTTCCGCCGCTCCCGGTTCTCGGCGGCGACTCTGAGCTCAGCCGGCTGGCGGGGGTGGTGATCGCGGACGGCCGGAAAAGAGGGAACTTGGGGGTGGGATGAGACCAGGAAAAGGCCCCTCTCTACCCTCCCCCCCGCACTGGTTGTGGGAATCTCTACCTGCCCTTCCTCACCTGCCCGCGGCTTTCTGACACCCTGCCCCGGATGCTCGCGTTGCGGAGGCTCCTGGGCCAAGTCGCAGCGTTCTGTCTTCAGTGGTCGGGGGGACACGTGTGCGGGAGGGCCTGGCTCACCCGGTGCGGTACGGGGGCGGCTAAATGCTGGAGTGAGGGCCACCTACCGCTCCATGTGGGTCGGCTCCCCGGCCACCTCCGTTCATACCCGGACTGTGTTTGCTCCCCGACAGAATGCGCTCTGCGCGAGGGGCTGGGGGCTGCCGGGGGGGTTCTCGTGTGCCAGCCCCCTTCTTGTTGCCAGAGAAGGCAGAGCTGACCCCATCGTATCTTTAAAACTTGTTTGTGGTTCCAGAGGAAAGAGCTGTGCAACCGCCGAATGACACCTTATCGTCTTACATTCTTTACTGAGAACTCAGTTGGGTTCAAACTTACCCTCAGTGTCACCCTTGTGACTGGCTGGCGTGCACCTCATTCTGCAGGAAGTGGGGTCGGGGGGTGCTGACTGTGTGCTGTGAGCAGATGCCGAGGTCATTGGACAGATTCTAGGGGGGTTCACCCAGCAGCAGTGTGGGAAGACAGGTTGCGGGGATAGGTGAGGGTGTGGGGAGCAGCTGAGGAGTGGAGGAGGGAGTGGGAGACCAGGGCAGGGGGGAGGGGGTGGGGAGACCAGGGCAGCGGGGGAGGGGGTGGGGAGACCAGGGCAGCGGGGAGAGGGTGGGGAGACCAGGGCAGGGGGGGAGAGGGTGGGGAGACCAGGGCAGGGGGGAGAGGGTGGGGAGACCAGGGCAGGGGGGGAGGGGTCGGGAGACCAGGGTAGTGGGGGAGGGGATGTATAGGAGGGCATACATTCAAGAGAGATTACAAAGACAAACCAAGAAGACCTGGGGATGCGAGGACCGTGAGGGATGAGAGACAGGACCTGGCCCTGCCCGGCCGGGAACCGGGCTGTGGCGTTCCTAAGCATGGGAGACGGGACCAAGAGAAAGTCTGCGGCAGAAACTTACCTTTGGGACAAACCGACTTTGAAGGGCCCTCCAGGTCCAGGAGGTTGGGAACAGGGCCCGGAGTTCCAGGATGATGCAGGAGGGCCTCACGGGTGTTCTGCGTGTGGCAACATCCCTTTCGAAAGCCTGGTTCCTTTCGTCCCTCCGTAAGGGGCACGTGCTTCAAGGTCATAGTCAACCTTTCTTTTTTTAATGAGGGTAGACTATCTTACAAATAAGGGCCTTTGACCTGGAACAGTCTGGGGCATCACAGTGTGTGAGTCACCCCCTTTGAGTCGTCTTCTATGATACATGCTTTCTACTCAAATCTGCAAACCTTCAGTCATCTTAGAGAGCCGGTCAGATTCCCATGATCGAGGAGCCCGGGGCCGGGGGAGTGTGGGGTTGCGGGCCGGGTTCACTCGGTCAGTGGCCGCGTGCTGGCCTGGGGCGCTCTGGTCCTCCCCGGGGGAGGAGCACACGGCACCGTGCTGTGAGCCTGTGATCGCCGCCCGTGTCCCATCCTACCCCGCGGTGCGGCCGGTTCCTGCATCCGCAAGGGCTCCTTAGAACCACTCGGTGTTTCTCTGGCCTCTCGCAGTTAGTTACGGCTGATTCCTTTTCAAGTTCTAGACACTCAAGACTTGGCTTTCCTTCCCTGCATCCTCGAGCGTGTAAACATAGTTTGCATTCCCTTCTACCAAAAACAGCCTTGGCGTGAGCCACCAGCCTGCAGCCTCCACCCCCGCATGCACCTGTCCCGGCTCCCAAACTAGCCTTTGCGTCTCGGTGCCGGTTTTAAGAGCAGGGTGGGTTGTTAACAGGAAATGTGTCTGTTGTCACCCTCAGGGCGTCCTTCAACTCTGTCCCCTTTCATGCCCCCCGTGCGTCACGGCCTCCCTGGGAGAGATGGGAGGGTGGCTGAGGGGTCCCGCTCAGTGGGGAGCACAAGCAGCACCCCGACCAGATGGTGCTGATAGTGTAACGGGCGGCAGCGTGTCCTGCGAAGCTGTAACAATGAGGCCCACCCCCTCGGCGGTCCCCAGCAGAGGACCGCTTAGATAAACCGCCCACCAAGTCGATGCACCTAAGCATGTGGAGATTCACGCTCTTCATTCTGGCCTGTTCCTTTTCCTGCCGTTCAGATGCCTTGAACCTCCGGAACCGGCAGGTCATCTGCGTCACTCTCAAAGTCATCCAGCACCTGGTCCTGTCGGCCGAGATGGTGGGCGAGGCCCTGGTTCCCTATTACCGCCAGATCCTCCCCATCCTGAACATCTTCAAGAACATGAACGGTGAGTGATCCCACAAGGCAGTGCGCCTGCCGAGGCCTGAAAAGGGGCGGTGGTTTGAAGCGCAGTTCACTAGCAGCCCGTTTAGGATTTATTATTGCGGATAAACCGAGATCCACGTGGAGGTTTAAATAGCATAATCCCCACCGCGCCTCCTCCTGCTCCCCGGGCAGCAGTGAAATCAACAACTGCATTGATTACTCCTCACACGCGCAGCTCACTTAGTCCAGATGCACTGAAGCAGCTCTGTGATCTGCCGGCCATTCTGTCGTGAAGTTATTTTTAATCGTTTTTGGAATACATTAGTACGTTTCGAGTTTGTCCTTTCTCTTGATAGTGATTCTACCTTTAGATACCTTCCTGTTAAGATTGTAGTTTTTGTTGATTCAAGATGAATTTTGAAAGCAACACCTAATCAAATGTGGTACAGGTGGTTTGGAGAGTTTTAATATATATTTCCATTTCTAAAAAAATGAATAGAAAAATACATAACTTGTAGCTACTCAGTTGATGGTAAGTACTGTTTAAAAATATACACATATGTATACATGCCGGAACATTTATTTGTTGAAACGTTAGTTTGTAAGTCGTGGAAGGTCCGGAGCGGCTCAGGTGAGCGTGCTTTACCTCCGCAAATGCCTGAGGAGCTGTGGTGACCGACCCTTGGCAGGAGGTGGGTGCGCATCTGTTCACCGAGAATGTGAGTTTCTTTTTCTGCCTCTTGAAACTCTGTGAACGTAATTTCCTTGTATGTTGCTAAATTTGAAGTTCCGTACTTTCCCTCAGCGTGGTGTAAGTCAACATGAAAGTTAATTCCGGACATCCGTGTGAGTAAGTTAGTAATTCAGTGAACACTGCATGAAAAGTTTGCGATGTGCTCTCATTGTACATAGGGGGAAAAAAATCAAACAAAAAATGGGGTGTGTGGCAGCTCCCACCACAGGTTATGTTTAAACAAGTATTTTATTTAGAATCACTATTTTGTATATTACTCCCAAAGTTCTTTTAAACATCTACTCAGGCAGATTATTCAGGAAATCATAAAATTCTCAGAGAGCTGTTAGCTGATTCTCAATTGCCGGACCTACTTGTATGTTTCATATTAAAATATTTAGTAAACAGAACCTCACCTGGGGGTGTGGAAGCTTAAGAAGACCCAGAATGGAGTGCGTGGATTTCCATTTTGGAACCTCTGAAGAGCTGTGAGTTCATGCAGACAGTCAGAGGAGGTGGTTACTCTTTCAGGGAAGCAAAAATTGGATATTAGTAATTGAGTATTTCATGGTCTAAACTGCAAGTTCTAGTAACAGCATTCTTACTATATGGAAAATCATTGTTAAACATTCTTAATTCAGAAGCGTATTTTTACTGTATGGGTATTGGCTTGGCCAGAAAGTTCATTTGGTTTTTCCATAAAAGGGCTCTAGTAGTTGTCTTTAACTTCATTTGAAACAGTCTGGTCAGACTGTGTTGTGACAGCTATCATATCAGCATGCATTTAAAAAAACTTATCAAAACTGGTAAATTTTTGTGTAGCCATTTTCGTATTGAAGATGGAAGAAAATAAGCCACATTTTCAGCACATGTGCTTTATTATTTCAAGAAATATAAAAAGGTGAATGAAAGGCAAAAAAAGATTTGTGCAGTATACGTAAAAGGTGCTGTCACTGACTGAATATATCAAGGGCCGTTTAAGAAATTTTGTGCTGGAGATTTTTCACTGGATATGGCTCTACAGTTGGGTGGACCAGTTGAAGTTGATAGTAATGAAATGGAGACATTAAGTGAGAATAATCAATGTTCTACCATGTGGGAGATAGCCGATATACTCAAACTATCTAAGTCAGACTTCTGGTCAAGATGGAGGCATAGGTAAACACACTTTGCCTTGTTACACAACTACAGAAAAGATTACAACTAGACTAAAAAATAAATATCATCCAGAACCATCAGAAAATGAAGTTGTATGGAAGTCCAACAGCCAAGGATTTAAAGAAGCCATGTTCATCTAGGTGGGTAGGAGGGGCAGAGACACAGAGAGGTGGTGAAATGGGTGGTCCCACATTCATATGTGGTGGATAAAAATCAGGAGGGATACGTCAGGAGCGAGGGATCCCAGCCCCAAACCAAACCATCCAGCAGCCCAGGGTTCCAGCTCCAGGAAGATAAATCCCCATAACTTCTGTCTGTACAAACCAGCGGGGGTTGGGGTGGTGGAAGAAACTGCCAAATTATCAGAAGTCTCCTCTGCAGGGCCCACACGGACTTAGACCTTACCTAGGACATACACGGATCCAGCCCCTTTGGGATTCAGCACCAGGGGGACAGCTGGAAGGGCACCAGTGGCATGCAGGGAGAGAGTGAAGTGGCTGGAAACAGGGCGAGTGCCAGGAGACAGCTTCCTCCCGGGCAAACCTCCAAAAGCCTGGCAGCGGCATTGTCCCCTCTTCAAGACCTCCCCTACACAGAACCAGAGAGTGGTGACAGATTGCCCCACCCTGGCGATCTCCTAAGACTCTACCCCACACGCAATTGACAGCTCCACTCTTGTACAATAGACCATGCTACTAAGACATGGAGTCAAAGCAGCTCTACCTAATACACAGAAACAAACACAGGGAGGCTGCCAAACTGAGGAAACAAAGGAACATGGTCCAAATGGGAAAAAAAAAAAAAACAGAACAAAACTCCTGGAAAAGAACTAAATGAAATGGAGATAAGCAACCTATCAGATGCAGAATTCAAAATACTGGTTATCAGGATGCTCAAAGAACTCATTGTGTATGGCAACAGGATAAAAAAGTCCCAGGCAGAAATAAAGGCTGCACTGAGTGAAATATAGAAAAATCTACAGGGAACCAACAGTGAAGGGAATGAAGCTGAGAATCAAATCAATGATTTGGAACATAAGGAGGAAAAAAGCATTAATCAGAACAGAAAGAAGAAAAAAAAATTTAAATGAAGATAGACTAAGGAGCCTCTGGGACATCTTCAGATGTGCCAACATCCAAATCATAGGGATGCCAGGAGGAGAGGAAAAGCAAAAAACTGAAAACTTATTTGAAAAAAATAATGAAAGAAAATTTCCCTAATTTGGGAAGGAAATAGACATACAAGTCTAGGAAGAACAGAGAATCCCAAACAAACTGGACCCAAAGAAGAACACAGCAAGACATATCATAATTAAAATGCCAAAGGTTAAAGATAAAGAGATAATCTTACAAGTAGCAAGAGGAAAGCAGAGGGTTACCTACAAAGGAGTTCCCTTAAGACCATCAGCCGAATTCTCAAAAGAAATTTTACAGACTAGAAGGGACTGGCAAGAAGTATTCAAAGTGATGAAAAGCAAGGACCTATAACCTAGATGACTCTAGCCAGCAAAGCTATCATTTAGAATGAAGAGTCAGATAAAATGCTTCCCAGACAAGGTAAAGTTAAAGCAGCTCATCATCACCAAGCCCTTATTATATGAAATGTTAAAGGGACTTCTTTAAGAAAAAGAAGATCAAAACTATGAATATTAAAATGGAAACAAACTCACAACCAGCAACAGATGAATCTAAAAAATACAAACCAAGCAAACGACCAGAACAGGAACCGAATCACAGAAATGGAGATCACTTGGAGGGTTGTCAGCTGGGAGGTGGGAGAAGGGGAACATGGGGGACAAGGTACAGGGATTGAGGAGCATGAACGGTAGGTACAAAATAGATCAGGGAATGTTAAGAATAGCACAGGAAATGTGAAGCCAATGAACTTACATGCATGACCCATGGACATGAACTAAGGGGGTGATTGCCGGAGGGAATAGGGGTACCAGGTGCAGGGCGGAAAAGGGGGAAACATTGGGACAATTGTAATAGCATAACCACTAAAATATATTTTTTAAAAAAAGAAGAAATATCCAAATCAATAAGGTTATTAGTGAAAAATGAAAAAAAAATGTGCCTTTTACCAAAAAAAAAAAAAACCTAAGTGGACTTATTGGCCAACCCGATCTCCATGGCTTTACAGAATGAGTCTGCGCATACACACTGGTCAGTTACGGTTCATACACGGAACCCTAAGGACGCTGTGGTAGGAGCTAATGGACGTGAGAGAGACAGGGGCAGAGACAGGGGCAGAGACAGAATGAGAAGGGAGAGCTGGAGACAGTGGAGCTGGAGCTACTCCAGACGCGGAGGAGTCGGGGAGCAGCCGCCTCCCAGAGCCCCCCCACAGCGAACGTTCCTGAAGCACGCGACTCACAAGTGCCTTCTCAACAGCCCTCGGAGAAGCCTACGGCACACCTACCGTTTCCATTTTTTCATTGTGAGAGTTGCCTCTCTGAAACTTCCCCCCCCGCCCCCGCATCCACCTTTGCTTCTGTACGGCCTGGCTGGCGTGGGAGCTGAGCGCGGGCCCCTGGCCCCCGGTCCCACCCAGGCTGGGTCAGCACTGCAACCCACAGTCACGTCTGGGACTGAACCCTGAGCATTCATTCTGTATCCTCCCGCATCACAGAAGAGAGACAGTGATACTGAAAGACCACCAGGGTCTCCCTGCTGCTCCAGAAAGCTGTGCAACAGTTGGCGCAGTGGCGTCAACGCCAGACAGGTCTCCGGGAGCTCAGACCACCAAACGAGATACGGGGTCCCCTCCGCCGTCCTCATTCCACTCTCTGCCCAAATCTTCACCTCGCAGGCGTTCACGGGCTGACCAAGAGAAATGACTGGCCTTAGGAATGTCTCCCTGTTTAGATTTTGTCTATGTGGGGGGATTTATAGTTTTTGCCACAGCTTTAATTGGTCCCGAATATGGCTAATTATTGGGGAACATTTCTGAATGCATGCACCAGGCAGTCTACACTGAGCTATTTTCTGCTTAATATCTTTGTGACATTTGAGGGGGAAAAAATAGGAGCTTCAGCCTCGTCTCCTCCTTATCGGAGAAACCTGTCAGTACGATGCCGGAATGCAGTCTGCTTTATTTCCAGAGGGCCAAATTACAGACTCAGAGCATTC